GAGAACTAGACACCTAAGTTTGGTCGAATTACAATCGTTAAAACACTCGGTGTTTCTCAAATTATGTATAATGCTAGTGTGTTGCATGTACCAGACTCAGTCATCAAAGCTGTAGAACGAATGCTCTATCATTTTGTTTGGAATTCAAAATGTGATAAGGTGAAACGAGACACAATGACGTATGATTGATACTCAGTCTCAAATTAAAGCACTGAAGGATCCTGGGAATGTCTAGCTAAGAAAGTTCTTTCTCCGTATGGAGGAGTTCCGTTAATATTTCAATTTAGCTGTCTTCCTGCTGATATTGTTAAAATGTTGGATATATCAAGTTGTTCTGTACCTAGGCTCTACACAGATTTGTTATGGTTCTGGTTCGAAATCAAAGATCAAAATATCGGTGTCTTTGGTTTGCAACTAGATCCCACAGAAATAAGAAACCAGATCCTGTGGGGTAACAGTCTAATACGTGGGCCTAGTAATGGTAATCCGATTATCCTCAAACGCTGGATTGAATCAGATATTGTGTTTGTGGGAGACCTTTGTCCTAATGGTTTTGTTCCTTGCAAAGACATTTGGAATCAGCTCATCTGTAAAAGAAACCACATCGCCGAGACTTTTCAGATTAGAAAGGCAATTCCGTACATCTGGATCAAAACTGAAAGCTGCTACTCCACCTCAATTCAATGCTCCGAATACTGATGAAATAGTTGTTAATTCGGAAAATAACACTACCATCCTAAATAAGCTGAAAACCAAGGTAATTTACAACATTTTTGTGAAGAAACAGTGTATGGTTAGCAAAAGTGAAATTTACTGGAAAACTGTTTTTCAGCTTCCGCATGACTTTAACTGGAAACAAGTCTGGAGTTTTAAAATTAAAAAAGTGTCGATAAATAAATATAAAGCTTTTTGTTTTAAGGTACTGTACAACATACTTCCTACTAAATCGAATTTATCCAGGTGGAATCTAGACAACTCATGCAACTGCGACATTTGTAATGAGTATGACAATCTAAACCATTTTTTGTTTTCACGCAAACATCTGGTTCATTTTTGGAAACGTGTAAATCACACTATTTTATCTGTTAATTCTAACTTTAAGAAAGACATCAGTTTCAAAGAGATTGTGCTAGGAAATAGCACTAACGACAACAATTTCGATAATGTCAACCTTTTTATAATTATTGCCTCTTTTACTGTTTTCAAATGTAGGGTCATCAACACACATAATTCTAAGACAATTCTTAACCTCGTGTTTCTTTGGATGACATTTGTAAATGAACTTAAATTTACTGAATCCCTCTTACCAAATTTCAATGTATCTGTCTTCTGTGATTTAAGTTTGTAGAGTATTATTTCAATGTGTAACTAAGTGATGTTTTTGTTAATATTTATTGTTAGAGGAATGCGAATAATAAAAGGCCTGGAAAGGGCAAAAGAGAAAAAATATATTGCGCTAATTATAAAGCGTTTACAGGTTCCAGAGACACGACCATCACTCCCTCAGTCTGGCTTCCAGTCTCACAATTATAAAATTACAACACCGTCTGCAAAATGGTGCCCGACTAAATTCAGTGCAATTATATGGGAGTCCAGAGAGGCCACATAAAGCTTATACTCGATCGTAACCCCATCTAAAAAATGTGCAGCAGCAGGATTGCAGTCAAACCAGTGCATGCAGTGAGTTTGGCGGTTTTGAGACATCATCTTACATTGAAAAAAAATACTTTTTAATTTGCCGACGCGCATGGCTACGGCGACGCGCGCGCATACCAGAAACCGGAGACTTTTTTTGGCCTAGTATAAATTCTGTGAATTTGTAACAGTTCTCTTTGATTGATCATTTGATAAGTTTATTCGTTTTACTTGATATGTTATAGCCTTTTATCTTAGCTTAGTTTATTCCAGTAGCTAGCCTTTTCTTTATTTTCTCTATATCCAAGTGTTCAATCTTCTATATTCCTTTTTGTTTTAAGATTAATTTGATTATTCAGGATCTTGGTAATTTTCGTCCTGATTAACTTTTACTTTCTTATTTTGAGTCATTCATATTCCCTGAATTGTTTTAAGTGTTATTATGCAACAGGTGTAACCTTGTCATGCCTGAGGCATTGGTCTTGGTACAATGTCCTTGGGGTGTACTTCTGTGTAAAAAAAAAACACCTACGTAAGCACGCGTACTTGTGGTAGAGGGCATTGACCAGCACTGGTGACCATGACAACGATACGCACAGCCTATTGTTTAAAGAGACTTTCGCTTTGATTATTTGAAGATCCATTTACTTATTATTTTATGAAGTTAATATTTATGTTCACTTGACCACTGAACTGCATCAGAGACAGGTTGTTGGTAGCACCCTGCTCCTCTGTTTTACTGTCTCTGTCTCCTCATAGTTATTGAACCTGCCATTATGTTCATCCTCTGTCCTGCAACAGCACAGACAGCCTTTCGTAGGCCTATACTATACTGGACAGTTGTGAGATTTGGCGTAGCCACGTGCATTCGTCAACTGGCAGCTGGAGAAGGGGTATAGATATATCCTTTTGGACCCCTTTTCGTCAAGTCATCTTCATTCTCATTGTTTACAGCACAGTGAGAGTAAATGTCTTCAAGTTTCCTTCAGCATCAAGTCAACAAATCCCCCTACTCTATTATTTCCGTCAAGTCAAGCCAAGTCACTGAGTCAAGTTTCCAAGTCAAGTCAAGCCAAGTCTACACAACTTCTCATCAAGATAGACCCCTTAATTACCTTCCCTTAAATATTCATTGAATAATTGTATCATTTTGTTTATTATTTTAGAACCCTGGGTTTTCATTTTATAATATAGATATTCTCCATAGTGGGGATATTTATATAAGCATACAGCGTGTGAAAACTGTTCTCTATTTAGCCGGAAAAGAATAAATTCAACTGGTTTTAGCCAAATTATAAAAAAGCGTAACTAGTAAAAATTAATTGTGTCGGCGTGTGCACATTGACTAATCATGCCCGCTACAAATGAATAAAGCCAGAGACTTCTGGTTGGATCTCTCTATTTTTTTTTTTTTAATTAATATCCAAACTCCAGAATATACTTTTTCTTGAAGGGGGCCATCCTAGTATCGCTCAAATATGACACAGGTCTGTTCCCACAACCGTATTGGGATAATGTTCTTACTGCACGGAGTGCATAATAATTGTGCAATGTCCTCTGCCAGTAAATCAGGATATTCATAGAATTAAGATTAAACCAACTTGTGTTCATTACAAACACTGGAGTAACAACGGTGTTTTCTTTGTGTGTAATCTTGAAAGGGGAGACTTTCTTACCTTGGTTAAGTTTATGACTAAATGTAATGTTAAGAATAATTTTCTTGAATATGGAGGGTAATTAAGGCCATAAAAACTCTTTTGGTACTGCGTTGATAGGTACCAGTAGGGCACATATCTGCTTCCCTTTTAGCTTTCATTCTATTCAATTTTAGGCTACTCTTGGAGGACACAAAGGCTCCAATCAGGCGCGGATCCGGGGGGGGGTCAATCCCCCCCCTCCCAGCTCTGGCAAACTATTTCAAAAATTAAAAATTATGCGAACCCCCCCCCCCCCCCCCCCCCCGCTCCGACACCCAAAAAATTATACTGGTAATAATGTCCGCCTGTGCACAAAATACTGACATAGCCAGCTTGGTTAGGGGGTATTTATACACTATCCGCAATATTGTGTTAATAATCGTCAGATTTGAACAGCGCCCCCATTGAAAGTATGGTAGGAGTCCCCCCCCCCCTCTCCTATTGATTTCGGGGGCCAAGTGTCCGGAGAAAAACAAAACAAAACCTGTCTACATTTCAAACATGTTGAAACCCCCTCCCCCCTCTTTGCACAAATTCCTGGATCCGCCCCTGCCAATCGCATTTGCAACATCTGCTTAAAAAAGTAGTCTGTATTAATGTATTGCTAAAGTGGGATAATACTTTGTAATAATCAGCGGTACAAGCGACACTACATGGTGTCCCAATAAACAATGTGCATGAAGAAATCGCTGATTTTCTCAAAAGTTGGTCAGACTAGCTAATCAAATTGTATAGCATTTTCAAGCCTATGGTCTGGATTATAATTGGTGAAAAAAATCAAGAAAATGCAACGATGCAAACCGTACCAGAGATATCTTTAATTTGGTAAGGCTATGTATTTTTCAACCTGTACAACGTAACTTCCACACTTAGTATATATTTGCTTGTATACAGCGTGTCTCAATAAACATTGTGCATGAAGAAGTCGCTGATTTGCTCAAAAGGTGGTCATACTAGCAAATCAAATTTTATATTATTTTAAAGCCTATCTTGTTTATAATTGGTGAAAATATAAAGAAAATCCATCAATGCAAACCAGAGATATCGTTGATTTTGTAAGGCTACATTATTTTCCTCCTGCACAATTAGAATCTTGTATTTAAGCATGTTAACACAGAACGTCAAAAGGGTAAGCAACGTTGACGCTCGAGTAATTTGAATGTATAAATTGCTCCGTTTCATCTTAAGTGGGGTCTGGGAACCAGACTGCAAAAACATGATTGGTTTTCTTGGTTTTTCCAGCATATACAAGCCCAAAACGTGAAAAAGTCAGTTTAACAACAATATTTGCCATTAACATACTAATCCTTCAAATCCATTTATTTCTGAGAATTGCAGCGTTTAAAATGTGATTAAAAGTCCAACCGATGTTTACATGAAGAAGCTTGGCTCGAGCGGGCCACCTTACATTTCAGCACATGTTCCAAAAGTTTGATCACACACTGCTTATAAATGATTTTCTCAAAATAATTCTTGTCTCAAGAAAGTTGAATTTTCGTGTTTCACTCCATGGAAATGGACAGGTCGGTGAGGACATTACTTGCGCTAATGGACAGCGCCATCTATTGACAAAAAAACAGTTCATGTTTGCAGTATATTGTTTGACAGGTGTATCTACACATATGTACATGTATAAGGGCCAACCACGCTCAGCAAACAGCCGTTCACGTGCACAACCGCGGGTCGATTTTTACGACTGCTATTCATGGTTTTACGACCCTAAATCCTTCCATTCTGGAATAGAAATGGTTAACAGGCCTGGTCTATGCATTAAGGCAGCTATTAATGCGCAACGTTAGGGAAGCAGCGATTACACTGATCATACCGAAGTTATCCTCCTGATTGTCGAGTTTGTGTGAAAAGTGCACACCAAATATTCATCGTTCTTGTTGTTGTTTTGAGTGGGTGGGGATCACCATCACTCAGTTGCCCGTGTGTGCTGATTTTGAGCACGCACTTCCCCTGATCCACATTTTGGGCCAATCTACCACAAGCCGGCAGCGTCGGTTTAGATCCCGGTCTACACTCACGTCATCTAGTTGCTGTACCTATCGTACGGAGATGTTTCGACGCCAGAAAGCTCCGCCTGTATGGGTTTGGTTAACAGTGGTGACATGGCTTGCCTACTTGGTAAGTTCTGTTTGCGCTATGCACACTTCAAATTAGCTTCCTATCCTTGTTCGAGATTTGATTTTGAGAGTGCAACAAAATGTGTTCAGTGCTAGGCATGCTGTTAGTTTTGAATACATTGTATATATGAAATACACTTGAGATATTAATTTATTCATCTGGTGAAGAAAAATTATTTTACTTATTTTAGATGGTTGTATTAACTAGTGCCATTATGATTAACGACAACACACCTGGACCCCATTTGAAATTAAAAAAAGAACAAATATGTTTTTATCGGAACATCCTTACTACACCACGGACCATACACAGAACCGGACCTAAACAATTTTTATAGTGTCCATGTACCATGTATATTTGAATTGTGATTTGATAACGTCCGGACCAGGGTACGGGTGTTGTGTTTACTGTTGCATAACTACAATAGTTTAACCATGGAGGAATAAGAATTCTTATTCCTCCATGGTTTAACTCATCAAGCAATCATCAAGCAATCCTTATCAAGCTCATCAAGCAATCCTTATCATCCGACACCCCCCCCCCCCCCCCCCCACACACACACACACAAACACCCACACATACACTCCTCTTTCTAAATGGCCGATTTGCTTTCCAAGTACCATGGTACACGTTCATGGAAATGAAATCCAGGGCATGCGGTACCCCAACAAGTGTGCATACTTTTTCTCAATACAGTATCCACTGAGCTGAAACTTTCACAAGTTTGTGCACCCGCCTTGAAATGATTCTATCGGACAATTTTGTATGATTTTTACCTGATTTATTGTTAATTTAAACAAACATGGAAATTGGAAGAATGTTTGCCCAAACGTGCTACAGATGGTTGGTATTACCACCGTTCGGCACAATGGGCAGCCGAGATTGCTCGACGCTGCGACTTAGTCTGGTTCCCTGACTTCAAGATCCCCGACGGTACATTATAATCGTTAGCCATATAGCCGTGTACGTGCATTATAATATTATACTCGAGGCCGTAAACAGCTTTTGGGCATATACTGGGCATCAAATTTTGTCAGTGTAAACTTCGATTTAAATGAAGTTCAAACTTGTCAAGGACTGATTTACCAAACACGCAGTCATTTCTTTGGAAAATACAACAATGTCACACGTAGTCAATTATAAAACCGAGCCCTCGCGAACAAATGCGATCGTTGACAGCGAAAGATGCAAGTTTGGAAATTTCTAACATTTTCGGAAGCGAGACTAGACTCTACCCTTTTTGGTGACGAAAATATGCGCCTACTGCACATAGAAGAGTTAAAATCATTAATACAGTTGACATAGTTGCACCTACAATTGTTTCGTTTTAATCGTATGCTCATTCTTTTCGATTAGGTTGGATTGTTTTCAATAAGCATTTTCTGACTGCACTTTGGTAGCTTTCCCCTGATACCACTTGACATCGGTTTGAACTAAATCAACATGCAAAGAAGTGGATAATGTACTCAGTCGGCATGATCAAATACGCAGGACGGCAAATGTTATCCAAAGACCCTGAGGCGCATTCGGCGGCATCAATAATTGCATTACTAGCCTATAGAGAAACAAACGGAGATATTATCCTCATAGCGCACGCAGCCCTCACACACAATGGACGGAGAAATACTTGCATCCTACGTGGATACGATAGCAGTCAGCGCATACCAAATCAATAGAAAGTTTTATAAACATTCTTTTGTCGGAAAATTTTCTGTGTGCTTTTCATTTATTTCCTAAAAGGATCAGTTCATAGGTCCATGCAATAACAATGTCTGCGATTGGGATGACAAATTCCAGCAACTCCTGCTTACTTTGCGTTGTACTTGCTATATCTTGACCAAGAAAATCGGTATTAAAATGTAATTGAACTATGCATGTAATTACAAATCATTTGGTGCATCTTATCCGTGTCTTAAGCATATTATAAAATGGCTTTTAATCTGACAGCACTACTTTCTCAAAGTTTGTTTTTATAATGTCTGATGGTAATGATAGTCGTACCATTCTTTCACTTATTTTATTCCAATTCTACGTGCTTATTAGTGACGAAGGCGTTCATTTCTTGATGTCAGCTCAGATTATGTCTCGAAAAGTTCCTTCGGCCCCGAGGTCTTCAGTTTATGTCGCTTCAGAGGATTAACCTGGACTGAGAGTACAACATACATGTATAATGGTTTTTCTCAACTGGCCCGAAAGTTTGTGAATACAGCAAATGGTGATCATTTTGATTGGATATATCCTTAAGGGGTTCCAAATTGCTGCTATACATGACCCACGGCGGATCCGGGGGGGGGGGGCAAAGGGGGTCATGCCCCCTTCGTAAACGAATCCATTTTTTTTTTATATAAGTGACGTCGCAAAAAATGGCAGCCAATGCGTACACCACCATCTTTTCCTAAAAATGAAAATTGGTTAAAGTGGTCAGTAATTGCCTCAGATCACACCACAGAGCATCTAGAATCCAACAAATTTCCGGGGCCCCTAACCTAAGCAGGCCGCGCCCCGAACCCGAAGCCGTTAATTTTGGGACCCACTTTTTGGGGGACGGCAAATTTTTTTTTTGGGCCTCCAAAAAATTGTGTTCTGGATCCACCCTTGTGCTAAAAAGGTTTTTGTTTTTAATGGAATAAAAGCATATTGATCGTTTTAATTATATTTTTCCAGGAAATTGTAGTTTTAAGTCAATGGATGTGATAAAATAACATGTCACAGGTTCCTTAATATTAAGATGTAAATACATCTTAATACATCTTAATACGTCTTAATACGTCTTAATACGTCTTAATCGTATGGCATTTAGGTATAACTTTGATCACAAGTTTGTAGAAATGAAACAAGGCTAATCATAAATGACGATTCAGTTCTTCTTGATGTTGTTTTTGTTTTTCACTCGTTGTGGAGTCAATTTGTGGTTTACTATCCGTGTTTGTCCTTCAGGAGCAAATAATAAGCGATCAAGCGAGCGGCGTGTACACGGGACACCATGCCGGGACAAAAGTGAAACTGTAGCCATTGCTAACTGGAGCTGTGTGCATGGAATGCGTTTTGCAACGAGTTCCTACCAGCAGCTGTCAGTGCTAATTTGACCGCAAGCAGGCAGATGAACTTGCACTTATGCTAGCTCGTTTGATATTGAACTTTGTGGCTTTTCATCAGGCAGGCCCGACGGCTTTTCAATTACTCCAACATGACTCTGTGTCGACCTTCTCAATTTGTTGTTTAGCAGAGTGGGCATTATAGTCTGGGTTAGGCTTGATACAAAAAGAAAATACAAAATGTATATGTGTGTAACTTAAATTTATCACGCAGGTGGAATATGGGTTCGTACATTTTGCTACCTTTATACGATCGAGACAACACGATCTTATTCCTTCGGCTGTAGTATTCATTGGTCGCACAATTAGATCTGCTGTGTGCAGTAACGACTTATACATGGGTATAAACAAAATACAAATATAAAATAGAGGGCAGTTTATGTAAAAAGAGTTGCGGACTTTTTTTGCGGGATCCACTCGAGTTCAAACGATTCTGCTTCCACTTAGATTTGCCTTCATTTTAGTTTGCCACGATAGAACTGTAACGGAAACAGAATATTGGGATGGAAATACCAGACGAAATGGCGAAGTACGAAATGGGCATTGAATGAAATCTTGGATGAGAAAGTTTATGAAAAATGGTGGCCGGACTGTTCAAGCCTTAGTTTGCACGGACCGGGAAATGACACTGTGGGTGCTTAATACCTTCAAAGACCTTGATAAGAAAAATGGATTGTTATACGTGAATTTGTTAGAAGTGAAATAATGGTGATTACTAAAGTCGAACACTGCACAACAGTTGGATATTTCTTTCTGTATTATCCACGTGTCGCGCACGATTATTGTAAAATCGTTACATCGCGTGAACTGCCAAGTTAGCCACTTGACTTGGTTAGTATTGTACAGTAAGAATTGATCGGTATCTCAGCGGGAACTCAGTAGTTGTTGTTTGTATTTTATTTTTCTCATTTAAAAAGAACAACGATGTTACCAATAATCGTATACAATTATGTACATTATAGCGATAAGGTTGTTTGAGGCCTCATTTAGTATTTGTCTTTTCGGCATATATCGTAGAGAAACAACATGCCCATAATGCGGTGTGTAGGCCTATGTGATAACGTAAGAAGTATATAAACGGTTATTGTCATTTTGTCACTAGCACATTTGATGAGGTATTGCGTGCCACTGTGAAACCCTTGAGGTATTTGGAGCAGATGTGATGAGATTTCAGCGGATAATCTGACCAACTGCAACACCTGCCTTCTGTCGGCCAGGCTTTGTGCATAGGCACAATACCTCCATCGTGCAATATTTTTTGGTTGGAAGCTGCATTGAAAAACTTGAGGTCATCGTATGCAGTAGGTTGTGTAAAATTATGTCAATATAACTTTATATATTAAGAGTTATTAAAACTTGGGACCAGACGGTTTAGGGTAAAAAAAATCATTCTATTTTTAGCAAGACTTAACTTTCAGAGAATCAGTCCAGTGGAAACTCAGATTGAAAACGCGATGTATTCGTCTTGTCGCTGGTTTCAGTCGAGTGAACTGTCACTGGAAAAGAGCTCATTGTAACTCTTTGGAAATAAAAGAGTAGGTTAAGAAGGCGAGAGTATGCATGGTCATCACCGCTCAGTGCGCTAACATGTTGATTTAAATGGCGTTTCTGGCAGGTTGCAAATGTAGCACTCCGTATTCTCTTTTAAAGTTTTAAAATATGGTTTGATTTTGTATCATAATTCATGTGTCTATCATGTACTGCGTGTTCACTCAAGTGTAAGTAAACTTCTTAATAATCATTATAAAGGCGCCACATGTGATATGCAGTCAGTATAGCGTGCACTTCAACTGACGAGTGGCAAGTCACACCACATCAGCTGGGGCCATCATTAGTACCACGGCAGACTCATTATTGAAATTCTGCTGTGAAATCTGGAAAGTGTAAATGGGATAACATTATACT